GTCCAAGGCATCCCTGGGAACAAGCAGAAGTGAGAGGGGTTGGGTTCAGATGCTGCATTTGCTTCCCAAGTTGGACAGGAAACACCCAACTTCCCACTTGCTGGCAGCAGAAATATCTGTGCAGCGTTTGCCTTTGTATGAAGAACGAACACATCAGATATTTATTTCTTGGTGCGCAGCGGCAGCGTTGTTCGGGTCTGCGAACAGCAAGCCCCCGTGCTGCTCCCGACTGCAGCGCGGAGATGTGCACCCTGGCAGCCCACGCCAGCCCAGCGCAGCGCTGCTGTTTCTTCCTTTACTTTTCACCCATTTTTTTCCCCCTTTCAGAGCTCTCTGTGCCTGGCTGAGGTCAGAGTCAAGCAGGGACCGTGGGAACCCCGCTCACCCTCCCAGCGCACAGACCCCCCGTGCTTTGCCTGCACCCCACTGCCCAGTCCAGCTCCCTGCCAAGCCCAAAGGCTACTTCCACTCCTGATCCGAGCAGACACGAGATTCTGGGAGCGTGCCAGGCCCCGGGCTGCATGCAGCCACGTCCCTCACGCACGCAGTGCTGGGCCACTGCTCTGCCCAGAGAGCAGGAGACTTACTGCGACTCTGCCAGCTTCTGCCGGAGCGCACGGATGGTTCCCCCCAGCTGGTGGACCTCATCGGTTAGCCCGTACTGGGCCTGCGAGGCGAGCAGGGAGAAGGCACAGCAGTTAACAGGGCTGAAGTGTTGTTTCACAAAGGCCGCGGTTCTCTCGTTCCCCTTCTAGCCCAGCTACGACATTTACTTCCTTGCTTTGCTACACAACTGTTGGATCCATTGCTCAGCCCCTCTGCAGTTTTCTCCAGAATGCACCCAGGTTTCTCAGATCCCCGCAAGCCCCCTTCCCGGTCAGCTCCCCCAGGCCCTCCCAGCAGGGAGGGTGCCAGGCAAGGCTGGTACCTGATCCCAACAGAGCTCCATACTGGGCCGGCACATGCGGGTCTCCAGGCGGGTGTGTGCCAACTTCAGATCTTGCGTTTTCCTTCGAAAATCTTCCTCCAAGCGTCGGATGTCCTCCTCCATCTCAGCAATTTCCTCCAAGGTCTACAGATAAAAGACATGTATCATGAGGGACAGCCAGGGATACAGACTGGAAAACAGCCCCCAGGCGTGCCGGGCTTTTACTGTGCTGGGAACGGATTTTGAACAAGGGCTGGTGGGCTTCCGAGCACTGAGCCCCTCTGCTCATAGATTGGGCTTTTCAAGCAGACCAGGCGTGGTGTTGCTGGTGCTTTATGGCCACAGCGGTTGAGACCAGGGGTGAAGTAAAAAGGCCAAAACCTGGCACTTGCTGCTGGGAAGTGTCAGAGCAGCAGCTGTGACAGCAGGAGGTAGGATGTTGCAGGGATCGTACATATGCCACTCCACATGCTCAGGCCAAGTAGCTTCCCACACAACAAGCAGCCCTTTGGATTCATTTCCCACCCAAAGTTGTGGTCGATAATGAAGAAAGCAACATTTACATTCTGCTCCTGCCATTTCAGCTCATCATAGGCTCTCTCCAGGTCTCTAATCCTCTTGCGCAAGGCAAATTCCGTAGCTACACGCTGAGCCTCCAGCTCGTTGTTTGTCTGCAGAGAGGACAGGCTCCAGTCACACACGACTCCCAGGCGCCTCCCTCCCCGCTGCCGCCTGCGAGGCTGGGCCAAGCCTAGGAGCAAAACTAGCTGGGTGCTGGCAGCTGCCACACGTGTGCAGGTCTGGCACCCCCCGTAACCAAAACAGACAGGTGCACGTCTTTGCAGTTGCCGAGACTGCTGCAAGCTCTGCAGCACAACCAAGATCCCCTTTTAAGCCAGGAGAGCAGCTGCTCTCAGAGGCCAATGCTGTCTCTCCAAAGACTCCCTTCCCCTGGCCACAGCACACGCCAGCCCATCCTCCCACACCGGACCCAGAACTTCTGCACCACCGATTCACAGCCAAGGGACTGATTTACCTGGGCAATGGCAAGCACTGTTGCTCCTCGGAGCTCAGTCGAGGCTTTCATTTCTGCCTCAGCGTGCTCCTTGTTACACTGGCTATTCTGTTCCCACTCTTCAATTGTAGTTGACCTGTGAACAAATCAGCAGTTATGAAAATAAGCTGAGTGTCTGCAAGACAGTTCAAAAGGAACCACTTGCTGCAGGCCAAGAAAGTTTTGTGCAGTGCAAAATGATCCAGGAATTCTGGAGGTCATGTCCTGTCTGATCTCCTCACGGCACCAGCTGGAGACTGCTACCCCATGGCTCCCGCACCGAGCCCAACATCTGCTCGAAGCAGGGACACATCCAAACCACGCAACGAAATGCCAGACAAGTGAAAATCTGCAGCAACTCCCCCATAAGCTGTGCCAAAGGCTGATACCACACTGCTCACCGAGTGTCACCTGCGACCAAGCCCCAGGGAGGCACAGCAGCTAGCTTCGCTGGTTTTGCAGTGACAATCTAGACAACTCCCAAAAGCCTGTGGCTCCAGAATTCCAGAGCCACAACAAATCCCAGCAGCCAACTCCTGGTCTGAGCTCTCCCTGTAACTGCACCCATCAAGCCAGGACACAGCAGGGAAGGAAAGAGCACCCCAGGGCTCCTTCAAGCACCAGCACAGATTGGCCACGCAAGGGCAGGCTCTTTCCTTACCTGTCTGGGACCCGTGTTGGGTTGACCTTCAGGGAGATGTTGGGAGAGTTCACGTTGAGGGATAAGCACATGCGATCTATTTCCAACGCTTCCATCTTGCACCGGTGGTCACAGCGCAGCTGCTGGCGAGCTTCCTGCAAGAGGCTACAGAAAGCAGGGCTGGAGTCAGCAGGGAGCACTCAGAGGGGAGAGGCAGCTCACAATTTCCAAAGCTTTTATCACCACCTCAGCCATCTTTTCAAACAGAGTGACGAGCTCCTGCCCTCCCAGTGAACTGGGCCCAACCTGGTAAAGCAGCACACGTGCTTTATGGCCGGCGTGGCTCCCCGTGCTCTGCTCTGGCATCGCACTGGTGAACTGAGCTGCCGCCCTCCTGCAGTGCGGCAGGGACCCACGAGGGATCAGGGCCTGGGAGCTTCAATACCTCTGGGTCACTGGTTCGTGAACCGGGGCAGGTGGCACAAGATACCTCTCTGGGCCAAAATTTTCTGAGGATGCTTATGCACTCTCCCTCGATGTGCCCTCCCCTACAAACCCTCAAACTCCGCAGCCCTTGACAACAATCATCAAAGGCTCCTCTGAGGGGCTCACTGCCCAGGGTAACCACGCCTGGCCTGCCCGCCCATCTCAGCGTGACATTAGAGGCACATTAAACTTCTGGGGCCAAGCAAGGAGGGCAGAATCCAGTGAGAAGCTGTGTCATTCGCCTCACCAGAGCTGTTCGAAGATGTCATTCACTCTCTGCTGCAGTTCTCTCTTGGCTTTGTCTATCACCTTCACCTCCTTGTGCAGCTCCTCCTCCACGGGGTCCCTCACCACATCGATGGCACGGCGGCTCTCACGCAGCGTCAGGCACTCAATGGAAACCTCCAAAGGCAAGTTCTTTGCCTGGAGGGCACATTCTGCTGCTTCCTTCACCTGGAGGAGGAAGCCAGCTGGGTGTCTGTGGGGTCTCCTCTCTTAGGGATGGGAGGAAGAGAGGAAGGGGAACCCACTGATACCCATGTTAAGAGGGCCTCGCACTGCCTGCCTTTGCAGTTCTGAAACCTTTTAGCAAGCCTGGAATGGAAACTGCGAGGGCCAAGCACACTAGTCCTCTACATCTGCTGCTTGCCTTGGGAATCACACCTTGCTGGGGGCTAACAACTCCAGGCACAGCAGCCTCTGGGTTTAGAACTGAAAGAATCAGAGAGATGTCCCACCACTCTCCTCTATTTAAAATAAAACATTTTTGAATGATAGTGTTAACATATTTCTTATTATCCTTTCAGAGCTTTAAAACAAAACAAAACAAAACCAACCATCCAAAACCCCAAACATGAGCATGCAAGGTACAGCTCCATAACATGGCCTGGCTCAGCCAGGAACAGAGTGGCTTGCTTTCCAGGAAGTCACTTCACCAGGTGCGGATCTCAGTGTACCTGTGACAAGGCCCCCCTGAACTCCATATGGGCTTGCCCACTGCAGAAGACAAGCCTCAATTATTTAACATCCCATGCTGCGAGTGTAAGTTGATTTCCAGCCATCTGTCCTCCCAACGTACTTTGGCTAAGGCATCGATTTCCACATCTATGTCTGCAAGGCATTTGTCCAGCGTCTCCTTCCATCTGTTCACACTGCTGATACGTTCAGCCAGGCGGGTTTGGTTGTCATGCTCATCCCACTTTGTCTGGAATTAGAGGAAAACCACCATTACTGTTTTTTAAATTGCAATTGTGAATCTTGCTGAAGTCCTTCTCCATTTTCAGGGCTGACTGAGCCCTCACAGGAGTACAACTCGTTGGCATTTGGTCTAATGGACATCTACACAAATGGAGAGCACAGAAAGCAACACAAATTGCAAAGGATGCAGGAATCACACCCAGGGATTTCATGACAGTACACAGGCATCATTGCACGTAGTTTTATAGCAAGTAAAGGCACGTATTTAGCGGGTTCTGTAGAGGTAAAGCTTTCTCCTGTTCCCATGTCTACACACCCAGATCTAGATACTCTCCCGTACTCCTCAGCCCGCTGTTCTGACAAACCCGGGAGGAGCCAAGCTGCTGGAAGGCTCACCTGGTTGCTGGTTTTGTTGCGGAGAGATCGGGCTTCTTGTCGGACTTGGTGGGAAGCAGAACGCTGGCGTTCAGCATCAGCTGAGATGAGATGGGAGTTGGTGTGCCAGTCTGGCACGGTGAACCGCTGCCCTGGCTTCACACTCAGTGTGGCCATCTTACTAAACAGGTGACTAAAAGGGAGGAGAAGATTTTCACGTTTATTCATGGAAACACACCAGAAATCAAGATGCATCCACAAACTGGAAAGCTTTTCAATAGAAAAGCAGCAGCAAGCTTTAACCTGGCACCTCGCCTAAGGCAGACACACAGGTCCACACAACTGTGGAAGCACAAGGGTGGGCGATCAGAGCCACCCCCAGCCCCCGGCCCAGGAGTAAAGCCCTGTCCGCCTGCCTCTCCCTGGAGAGCGGTGCTGTTTGCAGAGAGACAAGGAGCCGCTCGCAGCACCATCTCCCACATGGTGTTACTGAGCTCGGACAAAATGGCTGGTTACGGTACTGATTCTGCTTTTGCTACAGCTGCGTAGGCTCAGCCCAGGGTTGCAGGCCCAGGGGATGCGTAGGCTCTGCAGGAGCAGTCTAGCTTCCAGCCATCCTCCCTGCTACCCAGCACATCCCCGCAGAGCTGGCAGGAATCGCAGAGACCGCTCAACAGGATCAGAGCAGCTCCTGAGCAGACTGCAGGTCCCAAAAAACCCAGTCAGGTGGAGCTCCAGGGCAGAGTGCATGCCCCATGCCTGTCCCCCAGCCCTCTCGGGCCCAGGCAGTGGGGACAGAGCTCCAGCAGCACAGCCGTCGGCGCCAGAGGCCACTGGGGAAGGCAGCAAGGGAAGGCAGCCCGGCGGGCAGGACTCGGGGCTGCAGAGACAGCGGGAGAGGAGGCTCGAAGGGCTGGGGTCCAGCGGGGAAGGCTCGATCCCCCGGCCGGGAGGGGGAACGGGGACAGGGCTCAGCCCGGTTGGACGCAGGCAGCCCTGAGCAGGGTGCCCCAGCTCCACCGTGCCAGGGCCCCACTGCTCCCCCGGGGCTCATCCTGAGCCCGGTTCTGCTCCCACGTCCTCGGGGGCCTTGATCCCGGTACTCTCCTCTTGCCGCCGGGCCCCGGCCTCGGCCCCGCTGCGTCAAGAGTAGCAGGCCTTTGTATCTGGTAATGTACAGAGATGTCCAGGGCCCTAGAAAGCTTGTGTAGAAGACCAGGCAGGAAAAAAATGAAGATATGCCAGATACAGAAAGAAAATGGCCAAAAAGGCCATCATGAGAGATGTTGAACAGTATACTCCCTCTTGACTTGAGAAAAACCCTGTTTCAAATGACAAACGCAACCCAGTTTTGGTTTAGCTGAGAGCAAGGCTCAGTGCATTCAGAGCCGGTCCTGTGCCGCCTGCTGCAGAACGCGCTAAAAGGTGGCGGCACCCTGGTTTTCACAGGGCCGAAGCTCTGCACCCACCCATCGCGGGGACGTGCAACAATTTGTTGTTTTGGTTGATCATCTTCGCGCTTGTGTCAAACCTCATCACAACCGAGTTAGAAATAAGGTAGCGTAAAACCACACCATGTAGAGACCAAGGTGTGGGAGCTGCTTCCTGGGAGCCCGACACCGACCCGCAGACCCCGAGCCAGGGCCTGACACCGACCCGAGGGGACGGGGCCAGCAGGGAACTGCAGGAAGCTTGCTTTCTGGCACCGGTGGGGCAGCCATGCCCCCTCCCTCCAGCTGCCCCCAGCTCAGGACACCACAGCTCCCATCGACGGCTCCGTCTCCATCTGCTCCTGCGGGCAGGGCTTTGGCAAGAAACTAAAACGATGCAAGTAGATTAAAAAAAAATTTTCACATATGCATTTCAAAAAAAATTTATTTTTCAAATGAATACGGTTCGTTTACAATACACCCAACTTGATGGTATCTAAAGCCAGCAGAGAGCTGATGACTGTTGTGTGTACTATACAGAGTCACACAGAGGTTACAGATGCCTACGAGAGGGAAGGGACAGTGAAAGAAGTCTGACATTTTACTGTGCTGGAAAGAAAGCAACTCTTGCAACAGGTAGAAAATTTTGGCAAGAACAATTTGTCTGGAAAGGGAGGACGGGCAGAGGACACCGCTTTTGCTTAGCAAGTACATGGGAACACCCCGACGCGCACCCGGCTTCCCTCCCCCCCCCGGCTGCAGCCCACATCCGCAATACAAATAGGCACACATGGTCAAGATGGTTAAGTAAAAATAAAGGCTTTTACCAGTTTGTTTGCCATCCGCCTACAATCTATTTGTGCAATATCTCAAGTCACAGCTCTGCTTTATCCTTGAAACAATTCCCTTTTGCTTTGAGAACCCCCAGTACCTTCACAGTGGGAACGCATTCCAGTGCCTGCCCGAGCAATGGTGACACCACGACGAGAGGGGAGCAGCTCCCAGCAGATGAGAGCGAGCAAGACATACGCATAGAAGGGAATCTCAATCCACCGGACTGTTTATTAGAATTTTATTCTGAAAAGGAATCCCAAACAGCACAATGTCTTCAATTTCAACATATGGTATTAAAAATGCAAAGTTATATGCACGACATTGCTTCCAGCAGTCTCCTCAACAAACACAGCTCGATCGCTAGCAGTGATTATGGCACACACCACGCCATGCGAGCCACCTTCTCCTGGAGATACCTTAACACCCACACTGGCTCATAACCGAACGCTCCCAATTACCACGAAAGCTTTGACGTTAATACCTGCTGACACACAACGTTCTTATCCATGATCACACGCCACGTGGACAGCCGGGTTTTTCCCCACGACAAGCAACAGCACCGTTTATCCACCAGCAGGCTACCTGGGGAAGCTTAACGGCTGACATCGAGGGAAGAAACAAGAATATCACGGACAGAAGAATCTGTACCCTGCAAGCCCCAAGTGCGTCACCCAACCTGCAACATGCAGATCTGTCCACCAGCGTTGCTGGCCGTGATATCACGGACAGAAGAATCTGTACCCTGCGAGCCCCAAGTGCGTCACCCAACCCGCAACATGTGGATCTGTCCACCAGCATTGCTGGCCGTCGCCTGTAAAATCAACATTTCAGACCAAAAACTCCTTCTGCCAACTCTATTGCTGTGCTGAGGTTAGCTTTTAGAAACTGCCTGCAAAACAGACACAAAACGCAACTTTCTAGAAGCACGTTTTTCTACAGGAAAACAACATTAAGTTGTCCCAAGGCTAGATTCAACACTGAAAACTGCAGAAATGAGAACATTTCACTGAAGAATAGAAATCAAGTCCAAAGAAAACTAAAAACTATAGCCACAGGAGGAAAGTGATGTACAAAACCGAGTACCCAAAAGAAGCCATTCTTCACTGCAAAGTTGCCAGAAGTCAGAAGACAAACTTCATCTCTAGCAGTCTCCCTCTCACCAAGTTTTTTTGGCATTCCATTTTCCTCACCAGTTAACGAGCACTACTCAAGTTTCCACTTTGCTGGCACCATCAGGTTCAAAAACTTCAGAAGGTTCTTTGAATTCGCATTGCTCCAGTGGGTATTACTTTGCTATTACGTCTGAGTGAACACTAACCGGCAAGACATGGATTTTCTATCCAAGAAACTGTTTTTTTATATATTTAAGAGATCTGCAAGTGTAAGCACAATGAAAGTTTATTAGCAACTATTTTAATAGCTAATTTTTGCACACCTGTACTTAAATGGGCTGTGGACCTGTGATTTATGGGCTAGCATAGCGCTGAACTCAACACATCGTCACAGTTCTCCGTGTTGCTGGATAGTATTACAGTAGGTAGTAATTTTCCAACTGCCAAATGTGTTTGAAAGACCTATATAATTCTCAGCAACGAAAAAAACACTTTTGTTTAAATAAGCTTGCCCTCTGACAGTCTGTTTTGCAACAAATGGATTATATTAAAAGAAAGCATCAGGTAAACATCACGGGAGCAATCCCAATGGCCCTCCTGGGCAGAGCTGCGATGAGATACAAGTGGAGAGCACAGGCTCACATCAGAGAGACTCCGAACAGAACTGCATTAAATGAAGATGCAAACTTGCAAGAAGGTGCACAGGTTTGTACCAAGAATTTAGCACTTCTTCAATGCGGTTGATCCTCAGAACACCCAACAGCTGGCTCTCGTAAGGCGATGTGAAGCATCAACAACATTTTCTAGGTAGGGTGAAAAATGAGGCAGAACCATTTAACCGAGTCAGAGAGGGAACCCATTTCAGAGCCAGCACTGATAGCTGAGTTCCTGGCCAGGTAACTCATCAATATCTCAAAAAATGCATAAAATAAGACCTATTTGAAAAGCTCTTCCATTTCCGTCTTAAAATCCACTTTTTTTAGCAGCTTTAAGCCCAAACCAGCACCTAAGGACACAGGTGCCTGCTTTTGCGCAGCACACCGCCTACAACAGCCGTCCCACTACTAGCACCCAGGTGTCAGAGGAGAGGGGATCCCTTCTCCCCTCGTACCACTCTGCTAGCTCTCTCCATACCCAAGAGACCACACGATTTTGCACGCAGACATCACTACTCTCAGCTGCGGGCAAACCGTTTCTGGCAGGATTGTCTGTGATGTTTAACCCTCACCTCCACGTTCCGACGCAATCAGACCTCGGCACTGCTCCGCGACATTCACTGGACAACATTCTCCATGTCCCTACAGCCACCAAACGGGGTAAGGGGAAGAAGTAATGGAGTGAATGGAAAGCTGCAGGAGCACGGTAAAGAGTGAAAACACTACTGGACAGGCAACATTCAAATAAAGGCAGAACTAATGATTCTCATTAGAGAAACATATCAAGGTTACATTTTATTTAAAAAAATTGCAAGTCTACCAGGAAGGAGGTTTATTTGATGACATTACTCTCCAGAAACCACTTATTTTAAAAGCTTCTCCTCTCTGGATAGTTCTAATTCACAAATAATTCAGGCCTCACTTTGATTAAGTAATTCAATGTAAAACCAACTCCATTCTGACCAAGGATTCAAGCGTTAACAACAGTCGAAGAAAAATACTATCCACACTACCAATGCAAACGCAAGGTTTTCCAGCTTCTGTTCTTGATCAGAAAAAGGCACGTACTTGCTCTCCCCGAGTTCAAGTCCGACACAGAACAGTTCGGGACACCTAAGCTACTGTTTGACCTCCCCATCAACTTC